AGGCTTTCTCCTGTCATTTCTAATTGGCTTACTGAGTGTTTCATTTCCTTCTTCATTTCAGCCTGAGTAGTCTTCAATATTTCTAGGTCTTTTTTAATTCATTCAGAAGTTTCTCCCTATCTTCCTTCAGTTCTTTGATTCTTTGTGTGTTCTTGAAATTCACTGAATTCTTTCTTCATGTTTATAATTGTTCTTTTGAGTTCCATGTCCTCCATTATCTCTAGGGGGTTCTCATTGTACTCTCTAGAGGACTATTTGTATTTGGTGGGGATATGTTATTTTGGTTTTTCATGTTATTATTTTTTCTCTGTGATTTTGACATGTGAATTTCTTTTGTAGTTTCTGATTCTTGTGTGAGAATCAAGCCTTCAAGTTTAGGTCTGCTTCTTTTTGTGAACTTTATGTGTCTTTGTGGTTTACTTTTGGGGCATGAAAAGCTGGTTCCTCTAAGCTTCTGGTTCTCTCTTTTGGTTTTATTTTGGAGTGGCCAGATTGCTTTTGTCTTTAGGAGTTCCCACAGAGGCCCAAGTCAGATGAGGATCAGATGCTTTCAGGCTTTCTCCTAAGGTCCAGATCCCTCCAGAAAGGATTTTGGCCTCAGGAATTTGTGGGTTGGACTGGCCTGGGAGCCGGTCCCATGAAAGATGCTGGTGTAGGGCAGCTGGTGGCAGTGCCACCCATAGATGCAAAGGGAGATGGCAGCAGGAAGAGGCCCCAAGGGCTCCTGGGGACTGCACTGAGGAACTGGGTTGGTCTGGATGCAACGGATCAGGAAGAGGAAAGGTCAGCCCCAGGATCCAGAAAAGAGGCTGGTGGGTTGTGCAGTCCAGGGAAGCAGAAGGAGGTGAAGGCAGGACCAGGCCCCAAGGTCTCCAGGAGCGAGGTTGGTGGGCTTTGTAGACCAGGGAAGCAGAGGGAGGTGATAGCAGGACCAGGGCCAGAGGACTCCTAGGGATCCCAGAAGGAACTGGGTTGGTCTGGATGCAGAAGATTAGGAAGCAGTGGTGGTTTCCCTGAGGTCTGGGATGCCAAGACAAGGAATGGGAAATGCCCCAGGCTAGGAGGAGAGGTGGGCAGGGGAGATGGGAGGGTGAATGAGGCTGGGGAAGTCAAGGCACGGAGGGAGCAATCGACTTACCCCAGAGAGAGGCCTGTGGGTCAAAGAGAGGCCTGTGGGTTGTTCAGGCCCATGGAAGCAGAGGGAGGTGAGGGTGGGGCCAGGTCCTGAGGACTCCTGGGGACCCGAGAAGGAACTGGATTGGTCTGGATGCAAAGGATCAGGAAGCAGTGGTAGTTCCCCAGGTGTCTGGGGTGCCAAGACAAGGATTGGGACAGGACCCAGGCTGGGAGCATAATGGCATTTCTTATATTGCAACAGCACATACAGGGAAGAACTGCAATTCCATGTACATGTGCCCCGTCTCAGCTGCTGCATTTGAGTGGGTTAGCCATTTTCAGTTCATGGCATTCTTTTCTCTTGAGCTCTGTATAGCCTCGACATTGTCACATCCAGGTGCAGTATTAAGGATAGGGCTTTGCTCCTACCTTCAATTAGGGCACATTCAGTCCGTGGGAAATAATTGCAGAGTTTTGTTTTGGTTCTAGTCTTTGAAAGTCTTTCTTTTATTTAGGGAAAGTCTCACTTCCTTGGTGCTGCTAAAGTACTGCCAAAGCAGCGGGCTCCTGGCTTCAGGGACTGCAGGGAGGAAGTACAGGGAGCTACAGCGGCGATAAGGAAAGTCAGCATATCTAAGAGACTTGGAAGAGTCTGTTTACAGTAATGTGAACTTAACTGATAGATTTTTTAAGCCTTTTGAAGGCAGAGTCTCCAATTTCAGAAAATATTATTGAACAGTACGTACTGTAAAAAAGTAAATTGAAGTCAAAAAATGATGACTTAGCCAAGCCTTCTCTTTCAGAGTCTCTAATAGTGACCATGGAATGCTGGGACACTTGAGTAACATGAGATATAGTTTAGTTTCCTAATTTGGACATATTAATCATTGTACTTATACAAGACCATAATAGTAGATTAATTAATTAATTCGGATATGCCTGCTACAACCCAAAAGACAAGTGGGCCATTGTGTAACTAACATAGCAATGAAGGTTAGATCCTAAATAACCTGGAATGTGGATTATCTACTCCATTACGATCAAAATTGTTTCCATCACTTCTCCTGAAGTCTTTGCTGCATAGTGCATAGAGATGTTATAGGACTAGAAGAGACCAATTCTGCTTAGGTAAGAGGACAGCAGGGAAAGACTTCACAGAATAGATTATATCAGAAGGACCAATTGCAGTTGCCCAGGTAGCCTTGGAGGCACACATAGCTCTTTACTTCTCCCATAAGTACATCAGTGTAAAATAAGCCCTAAAGTTTGATTTCTTTGTCCCTGGTCCCCAGCAAACACAGTGTGTACAAGCCACCTTCCCACTCCCAGAATCAACCTAGCTCTTTCCATCATCTGTATACAGTGCTTTTCTTCCTTGGGATCAAGAAATGCAGGGAGATGACCTTGGTTCAAACTGATTTTTGAGACAAAGGCAGCGCCCCACTTTCTTAGACACACATATTAGCACTTAATCTACCCAGAATACACTTCATTTTCCAAGGCCACCTAGGTCCTTCAAAAATAACTTGTTCTGTAAGCATTTCCCTACTGTCCTCTTACCTAAGCAGAATTGGTCTCTATTCCCATAACGTTTTTATGCACTGCTCAGGTAGGATTTTTCACATTTTATGGAAAAATAATTATTACAAACCTGTTTAGTTTAGGTTAGATATTTACAAGCCTGTTTGCCCAAGCACAGTGAGCTCCTCAGTACAGACATTGCTCTTGCTCATTTGTTTATCCTAGCACCTCACGTAGTAACTGTTAACTAAATGTTCTCCTAAGGATTCAATCTTTGGAACTGCTGTATCTCTCAAGTAAGTTAGAATGAGGTCATGAAAAACGGTACAGGTTTTGGTACTGAGTAAATTACAGGAAACACTTCAGTCTTCCAGATAAAGCTTTTGTTTTACAAATGTGTAAAATAGAAGCAAAGTCATAGCAGAGCAAGACATGTACATGGCAGTGTTTAGTAAGGCATGAATGGACATGTTGTGCCATCATGGAAATCTAAAAATTAGGCACAGCCTGCTGCTAGAGTTGGGTCTGGAAAGATGAGGCATGAGAAGAAACTAGTGGTGTAGTCAAAGGCTGTTGCCTCTGCCTAGCTGCTTCTGTGAGTTTGTTGCCAAGTGTTTGGTTGGCAGGCTTGAGGTCATTAGTCAGCAGGGCTGGTACTTCTGGGTGCAAAACAAGGAAGGATAGGAGCCGGCAACATTTCTGCACCATAATTTGCCACTGCTAATCACTGCATGTCGCTTCATCTAGGGCTCACACAGATTGCTCTTTGGGCCACTTCTGCCAAAACCATACAGGGTGATAGATTCTGGGAAGTTTACCTCTTAAGCATGTTGACAGAATATACTATACATTCAAACTGTAGAAACTGAACTTAGCTTCAGTTTTACAAGCAGTATTCATTTGAACAGGAACAAGCAGAACTAAGAAACAGCATATATATGTAAGACGTTCCTAGATACTGCCTAGTTACATTATTTCAGAACACATTTCAGAGACAGAAATTGTTGGTTATAAATGCTAAGTACTACAGAAATGTTAAAGTGATTATATGTTTTTTCTTGTCTTTTGGTAGTCAGCATAAAATTTAGGTACAGTTTTTAATTCCAAGATTTCCTAAAGAAAGATATAACAAAAATAAAAGAAGTAATTTTTATTTTGTACAATGCTAAGAACTTCTGTGTATGTCATTCAATTCTAGATCCATAAGATTCCTGAAAGTAAAGCTACTGAAGGTCAAGTTCATATATGAAAGTTGAAAATTCACCCAGAGTTTAGAATAATTTACATATTAGGTTTTCTTAACTGATTATTTTAGCCTACCTTTTTTTCCCCAATGTTTTGGTAACTGTCAATTTCTTTTGTTATTTCCTTTTTTTTACATTTATTTTTTCATGCATGTATATGTATGTACATGTGCATCCATGCACCACAGCACATGTGTGGAGATCAGAGGACAACTTGTGAGATCTGGTTCTCTCCTTCCACAGTGCAGGTTCCAGGGATCAGATTCAGGTCATCAGGCTCAGTGTCAGGAGCCCTGCAGAGCTAGCTCACTGGCTCCCATCCTACCTTTTTAAAATATAGGACATAAAATACCTCCATGATTTTTTCATATCGCTCTATAAGATAAAGATACATAGACATAAAGTCAGTGTAATCACCATCCAGATAAAAATACAGAACTTCCCCAGAACCTTGATTGATTTTCTTTCACCTCATTAGTCTTCCCAAGTAAATGGTCTTACATGTTTATTTTTTGTTACAGTGGATGATTCAGTTTTGGGAAAAAAATGCTAGAGGGAAGCTAACAGTAGTGAAAATGTTATTGTCTCATAACTGCTTTGAATTACATCTACTTATGTCACTTTCTCTTTCTGCTTTTACCCTAAAACAGGTAATCAGATCCTATCCCTTGGGAGCCTCTCAAAAGATCAGATTTATCCAATGAAACTCAAGGGCATCTCCATCTGCTATTCAGCTCTCAAATCTGCCTTATGTGGAAATTATGTCAGCTTTGGCGTCTTCAAGTTGTATGGGGACAACCATTTTGACAATGTACTTCAGGCCTTTGTCAAAATGCTGCTGTCAGTGTCTCACAGTGACTTGCTAGTAAGCGTTCCTGTGCCATGGGAGTCTTTGTGTGAAATGTGGCGTTTCACCACAGGCCTGGGATTGTTATAATGAAGCCCAGGGAGTCTGAACACTACCACATTTTCTGTTTTAAGATGGCATACTTGCTCCAGCCTTACCAAATCTGCACAACTGTAGTAACTATATAATTAAATGCACAAGTTAAAAACTCAAAACTGCCACCTTCTGACAAGTTGATCATCCAGAATGCTCTAAGTTCCTTCATATAAAAAAAAAAAAAAAGTAGATTCGGTAATCTCAGTAATTCAGAGAGGGCCTGTGTTTCCTGAAGCAGGAGATACAGAATTGGGTGCAAGTCTTTCCCTTCCTTTCATTCTACTCTTCCATCTTCTTGCTGCTTGACCCTCCTTTCCATTAAAGTTCTGGGGTAGTAGACAGCGTTAAACTGGAAGTTGAGTGATGCACTGCATGAATTGCCATTCATCGGTGATTTCCCTTGAGCCAGTCACTTCACTATTTCTCTAGGCCACACTTGTAAAATAAATGGTTTAAAATAAGTGATTTCAAGCTGGGCGTGATTTTTAATCCCAGCACTCAAGAGGCAGAGGCAGGTGAATCTCTGGGAGATCAAGGCCAGCCTTGTGTACATAAGTTCCAGACCAGGTGGGGCTGCAGGGAAACCCTGTCCCAAAAAAATAAAATAAGTGATTTCTAGGCCCCTGTTTTGCATTGACATCTAGTTTCTGTGATTTTTATCAGTGTTCTGTAAACTTTGAAGCCCATCAGAAACACCTGGGATACTTGAAAATTCGAATTTCCGGCGTCTTTCCTGACCTGTATCATTAGCAGACTTTTTAAAAGATGTCTCTGCCAGATTATACAGAAGCCAGTGTATGTGCAATGTGTTTGCAGTTATTACTTGTTAAAGGAGCCAAATCAACTTCAGTTTAGTTCAGACTTTTCCACTTCCCCCCACCCACAGTTGTATGAATGATCTAAAGAGTTTGTGCAAAAATGTTCCTTGACCTGCTGGTGAACTAGTGCACACCATACCTCAACCAGAGTTGTTAAGCCTTATAGTAGGATGAAGTGTTCATTAAAAGCTATGCCTGTGTGATGGAAAGTACAAATTAAAAACTTAAATCAGCTGGGCGTGGTGGTGCACGCCTTTAATCCCAGCACTCGGGAGGCAGAGGCAGGCGGATGCTCTGTGAGTTCAAGGCCAGCCTGGTCTACAGAGTGAGTTCCAGGCAGCTGGAGCTACAAGAAGACCCTGTCTCAAAAAGACAAAAAAAAAAAAAAAAAACTTAAATCATTCACACTATGCATTGTAGGGACTTTTCCCTACAATTGTAGTCCTGGGAGAAAACTGGTATCACTGAAGGATGCCTTCAGTCAGTAGTTCTCATATTTGAAGGTCCATAAGATTCTGTTTGTAGCATATACTAAAATGCACACTTCAAGACCTCCCTTTGGAGCTTTCAGGTAGTATTCTAGAGATTGGAAAACATCCCAAGTAAGCACCCCGGGTGATGCTTAGAAAGATAATCTTAATCTCATTCTGCTCTGGTTTATATTTGTTATGGTTATTGTGCTTTATACTGATTTGGATGCATTTGAAATTTCCCAGGTATTTTCTCAAAAAGTAGTCTTTTGCCTCTAGACTATGGTAAATATAAAATCTTTTACCCAGTGATTTAGTTAAATGAGTCGACCTTGTATAAATATAGCAGACTATGATGCCAAATCCATGTGGCCTGACATCCATGTATCTGTGTTGCAGCAATATAGGAAGCTGAGCCAGTCTTATTATCCACTCCTGGAATGTCTCACCCAAGACCACATGAGTTTCATCACCAGCTTAGAGCCTCCTGTGCTCCTGTACATTCTCACATCCATCTCAGAGGGACTCGCCTCTGTTGGTAAGGATCCACAGGAAAAACATGATTCTGGTCTCTGTGTGCTTATTGAGATTCTCATCCTATAAAGAAAAAAGATGTTATGAATCCAGACTGAAAGATGATTTTATAGCTATGACTTGCAAATGGAAAATAGATTTTCTAATATTTCGATATAGTTTGTTTTATCCGTTTTATTGAGTTATAATTTAAATGGAATACAATTCACTTCTAAAAGTGAACAGTTCAAGGAGTTCTGACAAATATATACATAATAATGAAGCACAATATATAAAGCATTTTAATCACTACAAAAGCTCCTGTATGTCCCGTCAAATCAATCCCTTCTCCTTACCCCTAATCCAAGGAAACGACTTTCTCTTTCTAGACTTTTATGTAAGTGGACCCATATAATAGGAAATTATTTATATATGGTTTCTGTCTCTTAACATACTAAAAGAGTCATCTGTGTTGTTTTATAAATCACCTACTCCTTTCTGTTGCTGAATATTACTCCACTTTGTGGATTACCACAATTTGTTTATCCATAGACCAGCTGATAGGGGGTGTTTTCATTTTTTGACTATTTTGAATACAGCCACTATGAACATTCATTTGCAAGTCTTCATGTGACAGCTTTTTTTAATTTCCCTTGGATAAATACCTAGGAGTGGAATTTCGGGGTTGTATGCTTTGTAGTTTTAATATTCTAAGAAACTGATGAACTATTTCCCACTGTGACTATAGCATTTTTCTCCAGCAAAGTACAATGGTTGCTCCATGTCCTTTCACTTGTTAGGATTCATTTTAAGCTTAGCACTCTTAGTGGCTATGAAATGGAATCTCATTGTGGTTTTAATTTCCATATCACTAATGAATACTTTAAGAATATTTTCATGCTTATTTGCCATTCATGTGTTGTATCAGTATTCCATTACTATAACAAAATATTTAAAAGACCTCAACTAAGAAAGGTGGTTCACACTTTCAGAGGCTTCAGTTCATTTCAGAGGCTTCTGTTGTTTTCCTTGCTTTGGGCATGAGGCAAAGCTCAGCATCATGGCAGGAAGCACATGATGGAACACAGCCACTAACCTTAAGGTGACCAGGAAGAAGAGACGGCAAAAGAAAGCGACTTGGAGTATGGTAATACAACTCAGAGGCACACCTCATTGACTTCCTTCCTCTAACTAGGCCGTACCTCCTAATAGTATATCCAACATGAACTCAGCAGTGAATTAATCCGTTGATGAAGTTAGCACCTCATGATCCAGTCACCTCTTAGTAGCACCACCAGCTGAGAATCAAGCCTTCAATCACGTGAGCCTTTGGGAACATTTTATATCTAAACTGTGACAGTTTTGTATGGATCTAAGGTTCAAACTCATTTTTAAAAAAAAAAAAATGGGTATTGGATTATTCTAGCACTTTTTATCTGTTACTAGGACATTGTGCTAATGCTATAGGTCCACTTCCATAGAAAGTCTTAAAATATTTCAGTAAAGTCCTTTAATATTTTCTCTTTTAAATATTATCATAGCTATTCCTTTGCCATTACATAGAAATTTTAGAATCAGTTTGTCAGTTTCTTTTACAACCCCCCCCAAAAAAAGATGGGAATTTTGCTTAGGATTGGAGATAACTGATAAATTAACAGTATTCAATGTCCATTCCTAAGAAACTCCTCTGCTCTTCCATTCACTCATACCTTCTTTTATTATGACTTTGAGTTTATGAGTCTTGTATATATTTTGTTGGACTTATAACTAGGTATTTATGGGTTTGTGCTATTTAAATGGCATTCTAAGGTTTCTTATCTTTTCTACCTTATAAAATTAAATTTTATTTTTATATATTGGCCTCATGTTATACTCTTACTAATACTATGAATTTTTCATAGATTTCTTAAGATTTTTCTACATAGATTTGTCAAAAATGAAGTTTCACTCATCCTTTCCAGTCTGTATACTTTTTTAAAAAGATCACACTGTCTAGAACCTATACTACAGTATTGAATAGAAGTGATCATAGCAAGTTATTTTCTTACCTCCAGTGCTGGGGAAGCATCAGTCTTATTCTAGTCACATAGCGTTGGCTTTCTCATTGGGTGCTTTTTATCCTGTCTAGGAAATTTGAACTATTCCCAAAGTGACTGTAGCATTTTGCTCCAGCAATGTAGCTGAGTTCCAGTTGCTCTGTATCCTAGTAATTATTAGGCTTGTTATATGTAGTTTTTGGATCATGTTATCAGGAACAGTATTGATTTTGTCAAATATCTTCTCTGTATTCTACTAAGATCAGACAGTTCTTTTTTGGTCTGTTACTAGGTTACATTAATATTAATAATCAAATTCAGTGATACTGAGAGGTTAAATCAACCATGCATTCCACACTTGGTCATGGTACACTTTCCTTATTTATATCGTACTGGATTCTGATTGATAAAAAAAAATTAATACTTTTTTTGGTATATTTTTTATTGAATTTTTGTGTATTTTATACACAACATTCCAATCATCTTTATACCCCTTTCCCCATCAGCACCCTCCCATATCCCCACCACCACTGGATTTCATGCATTCTGTCATTTATGTTAAAGCCTATCCAATCAAGTTAATGTCCCCAGACGTCTCTCAGTGCAAGTTCATCCACTGGGGTCTACTCAGTCTATCTAGAGTCACCCTTAAAGAAGATCAGCTCTTCCTCACCCAGCAGTAATCAGTTGCCCAATAGTTCTTTGGCTAAGATTGGGGCCTGCCGCCCATTTCCACAGTTCTGTGCTGGGTTTTTGTCTGCTTGAATTTGCATGGGTCTTGTATATGCTGTCACCTTTGCTGTAAGTTCATATGAACAAGGTCCCAGGAGCCTGTAAGACTATTTCCAAAGCGAAGAGAATAAGCATCCTGCAGAGTGTGGGTCCTTGGACAGGACTCTATGGTGATACAGATTTTTACATCTTAATTTATATCAGATCTGATTAATTCTTCCATATTGATATGTTTGTCTATAATTCTTATACCCCATTCTGTTTTTATAACCCTAGCATGTTTAATCTAGTACCTCCATAATATGAACTCAGTTTCTTCCTCAGTTATCTCAGAGGATTTACATAGAATTATAGTTTTTTAATGTTTAACAGAATTACCCAGTAAAACTTTGAGATTTAGTTTTCTTCAGAAGAGTTTCAACTACAAATTAAATTTTGTTAATGGATATACAACTGAACCAGTTATCTATTACATATTTGAGATATTTGGCTGTTTGTACCTTTAAAAGAATTTGTCCACTTTATGGACTGGAGAGATGACTCAGCAATTAAGAGCACTGGCTTCTCTTGCTGAGGACCCAGGTTCAAATCCCAGCACCCACGCACATGGTAGCTAACGACGGTCCATAACTCCGAGAATCCAGTGCCCTCTTCTGGCTCCTGTGGGCGTTGTACAACATGGGTACACTTACATACATGCAAGCAATACACTCATGCACATAAAATAAAAATAAATTTTTTAAAAAAGATTTTGTCGACTACTATCCTCAGGCCTCTTGGGGTAAGTCTATAGCGCAACTCTCGCGCCGGGACTCCCTAAGGCACATTCACCATTCCATCCCTCCCGACGTTCTATACTCCTAGTTTGGGCCCTGCGCCATTCCTAGTCTTGGGGCCCCAGACACCTGGGGAACCAATACTGCTTCCTGATCCTTTTCACCCAGAACAACTTAGTGCCCTTCTTGGGCCCCAGGAGCACCGCTTCTGGACCTGGCCCCGCCCTCACCTCTCT